CTGATAATGACTTACATTGTGGTACTGCTACTCATCTCAATAATTATCACAGTGTCATTTTCACAATTATAGCCAGTGAAACCTTCACTGCATTCACAGGAATAGCTGGTAATACGATTGATGCATGTGCCATTGTTCTTGCAAGGATTCGGCATACAAGCATTGACAAGCAATTCACAGTTTAATCCCTAAACAATAACCAAGAGTACATGCAATAACTAAATGCAATGTACTCAACACTACCCATCCTTACTTCATACTCAGTTGTACAGTTGCAATAGTGGCCTGTTGCTAGGCTGCTACATGTGCCATTGTTAATACAAGGATTGGATTCACAATAGTCGATTTCATCTTCACAGGAATCACCTGTCCATCCAATGGGACAAATGCAATTGAAACTGCCTGGCTCTCCCTCCTATAGAATTATATGACTTTCAATTTGTATTTGTTTATATTTCATTCTGTATCTCTTTATTTAATCTTTCCCTCTGAAAGTTGTTTTCTATCACTCATAATAATACTTACAATACACGTTCCATTGTTATAACAAGGTTCAGGACCACACTCATCAATATCAACTTCACAGTTGGTTCCTGTGTAACCAACCGGACAGGAGCAAACGTATGCACCATCAGATCCAACATGAGAGCAATTGCCTTCCTTAAGGCAAGGCATTTGATGATCACAAGGTAGTAAATCTATAAATATCAGTCATTATTATAAAACTGTTACATGTAGGGTATAGTAGTAAAATAAGAAACAAAATGAAGCCAGAAAAAGAAAGAAATAGAATAGAAAAAACTAGGAGACTCCTGATGTAAGTAGGGAACTCTTAACATGACATGGGACTATGACTAGGGGACAAAAAAACAAACTAGTAGACCCTAAACCCTAAACCTTAAACCCAACCTTGGGGATTAACTAGGGGACTCCTAACAAAATAAAATGACATCAGGAGTTTGCTGTTTTGGTGTTTTTTTTCTGTTTCTGGTTTCATTCTACTTTCACTAATACCAGTTATATACCTATTTCACATGCAGGTCCTGTATAACCAGCTAAACATGTACACTCATCAGGTACCAGGCATTGTCCTCCCATTGAACTACAGTTAACAGTACAAGACGACTCATTGCAGAGACTTCCATTCCAATTATTATGACACGAGCATTGATATGGTTCAATACAATATCCTCCTGGAGGATCACACCCTTCAATACACTGTGGTACCTCACATTGGTTTCCCGACCAACCAGGACTACAAGTACAGACCCCATTAGGCGTACACTCACCACCTGGTGATTGACAGACTAAGTGACAAGCAACTGTGAAAAATAAACAAAATTAAGTTAACCAATTTTGCTCTTCTTACCATCTTTACAATAATTATCAACATTCTGCCAGCCGTCCCTACATATCCTTGCTCCAGTAGTGCTATTGCAAGTGTAGTGTCCATTAGTGTCATCATTATAAGGTATACAGAGGACTGAACAGTCAGATCCATAATAATTGAGCCTGCATGACAGAGTATAACTCAATACAAGTGAAACCCTGTTGAATACACCAGACACAGTCCGTGATACTCCTGATAAAGGATGAATAGGCACATCAAGGACTATTCTGTCTATTAAATCATCACTGCTGAATGTATCATCATCCCAAACTTCCAAGTATAGCTGAAACCCAGCCTGCCATTAATACATTAAAATATACACTACAAAGGCAAAGTATCTTTACTTGTGGGATACTTCCAGATCTAGTATAGTCAAAGGGATTAGGAGTACTTCCAATCCTGCCACGAAAGTTTACACTAGTACTGCTGCCACCAATACGGCCAGGGTTGGCCACTGTAGATTGTATACAATGACCAGTTTCCGAATGAGAAGTCCCTCCATTTCTGAGACAAAGTGATTTAAAGAGAGTATCACAAGAATCACACCAAAAATCACAGCAGTTCCCATTAAAATTACGGTCGCTAGGGTTGCTGTATCGATAAAACTGGAATTGAAGACCAAAGTCTCCCAGGACTTCCTGGATGTGTTGAAACTAAGAGAATTATAGGTACCCAGGTTTTATAAAACTTACTGCACAAAGAAAGAGAATAAGTGCCCAAATTGCCATGGCACGTTTGCTGGCAAGATCACTCAGACAGTAGGCGGTTACTACCTTACAATAATTATCAGCTCCACCTAGAACTACCGGTACATGTACATGTATTATAGACTGGATCTATTATAATCTAGATCATTTAAAGTGAAAAAGAACTGCTAACTGCTTTAAATTCAATGTCTGAAATAGGCATGCTCACAAAATGTGACTTCGTTTTCTGTACAGCATAGTAATAATAATAATGATAATAATAATAACAATAAAGCTACGTGTACGATACAGTAAATATTATCTTGAGTCCACTAAAACCTAAAAAAAGAATTAAAAGAAAAAGTTAATACACAATACAATAGAAAACAAATACAACAAGAGTTTTAGTTGGCTTATTTTGTCAAGTGGGTGATTTTTTATTGAGGATAACAACTAAGTAGCTGTTACTCTCTTATAAAGAAAGTAAGGTAGATTTCCAATTTTACTCTTGTTCGAAATCTCCTGTACATGCAGTTGATGAAAGATCATTAATGGCACAAGCAAAATGAGTAACAACTTAAAGACATGATAATGCATGCATAATATTATGACGAATTGAGTAATAATAGAGTATAAGTGACTTATACAGGAAATGAAGTCATTCACTGATATATGATACTATTTTATAAAGGGCAAAAGATATCAAGGAAATGTACAAACAAACAACCAGTTATAATAAAAACAACAAAAATGGTCTTTAAAATGTTCAATTTCAGTAATATATGCATCTGATTCTGACCTAGAATGTCATAAGAGCTATACTTAACTTGGCAAAGGCAAATCTAAGAGTGACATTCATACATAATGCACAGATCATGTTGTGAAGGGAATGACAACACAGGTCAGTATTAGTACTGTTTGGTCTATGGCTATCGCTCAAATGGTCATATACATAGCTCAAGAATTTTTAATCAAATTGTATAAAGGCAGGGTTTCCCCCATAGCATTTTGGCACATATATTATGCTCACAGGATTTATTAAAAATTTAAGCCGCTCCAAAATTTAACAAAAAGACGAAGAACTTTGTGAAAAATCGCTAGGAGAGATTTTCTATTTTTATAATTTTTTCTGATACATATACATGTTCCTGTTTTGCATATAAAGTTTGAGCTGAATCCAATCAAAACTAGATTTTTATGAATTATTAAAGATGCTCAAAAATAGGGCCATCACAGGCCAAATTTCATCAAAAATGGCTAGGAGAGAAATCTCTATTTTAATAATTTATTCTGATACACATACATGTTCTTATGTTGTGTATTAACTTTGAGCTGATTACAATCAAATTTGGATTTTTTATGAATTTTTAAAGTTGCTCAAAAATCAGGCCAATGACCCAAGGCTATTATAGCCTTTGGTCACAGGCCAAATTTCATCAAAAATGGCTAAGAGAAAATTTTCCATTTTAATAATTTTTTCTGATACATATACATGTTCTTATGCTATGCATCAACTTTGAGCTGATTCTGATCAAATTTGGATTTTTTATGAATTTTTAAAGTTGCTCAAAAATCAGGCCAACGACACAAGGCTATAGCCTTTGGTCACAGGCCAAATTTCGTCAAAAATGGCTAAGATAAAATTTTCCATTTTATATTTTTTCCTGATACATATACATGTTCTTGTGCTATGTAGCAACTTTGAGCTGATTACAATCAAATTTAGACTTTTTATGAATTTTTAAAGTTGCTCTAAATGCCATGTACTGTATTGTAGTGCTTGTCAGCTCATGAAGCTCATGCTGTTTAGCTCACTTAGCATGCTTTGTGGGGAACCCGAACCAAATACATGTACATGTACATGTACAAGGACTCATTCAGGGTGCTAATCAACATGTATTCACTGCTTCTATCACATGCAGCTTCTACATTAACTAATATCCTCACCTACTATAGTTATGAGTTAGTCAAAGTTAAGCTAGTCCTAGTTCCTCTGGTGTGTTTAGTCCCAGTTCGTCAAGAGTCGGTTTTATCTCTTTTATAATGTAAGAATATATCTCCTTATTTCCAGCAGCCTTCTCCTTCACTGCCTCTAATATACGGATCGCCATGGCAATATCGTTAAGGCGACGGGCTGCCTCTATCATGGCTACGACTATCTTTGGTTCAGGGACAAGATCCATACCGTAGAGCTTGTTTAGGCCCTGTCTCAGCTCCCAGTCATCAATTTCCTTGTTGCTAAAATAGTCAACCCATCTCTGGTCAAAATCATCTGCATCTATGTTGGTGACCTCTTTACTGCTAGAGAACCGTCTCCAAGGCGTTGCTATGGAGGGGGAGGAAGAGGGCATTAAATAGAAAAGTCCATGATATTGGGGGAAAATAAACAGTATTGCATCATTATTAGTCACTCCAGGGATAAAACTTATTTTAGAGTCATCAAAGTGAAAATTATACAAGTAGAAAGGCGCAAACACAATACAATGGTTGCTATAAGAAAACAGCAGAGACTAAGGCTTCACTACACTTCGCAGTACCTGTTACTGGCCTCTGGACGGCTACTCTCCTACAAGACGCAGCTCCTACTGCTCTCCAGACGACAGACCAACGACTGAGCATGGACATAACTCCTGAATCCCTAGGCTAAGAACTCTGGACACAGAAATCTTCAGAGCCAAACAAAGTTCTGCGCATGCGCAGTTCGGGTCAATAGGTTAATTAATTGGGCGTGCGTGGGTGTGTCGTGTACTCGGGCGTGGCTAATGAGGTGGAAATTCATTTTCACCATTATGATTTTGCTGAAATTAAGAATAATGCATGGTAAAACTGTAAGAGCATGATATTTTGAATAGTGGCACCTCCTAGCTTCACTTTATTTAATAGATTTACTGGCTACTTAAAATTAGCAGGTTTTTCAATCCAGCAATGCATTAAAAGCTCCTATTTTATTCTAACCATAAATACAGCAACATACCATCTCATACATAACATAACTATGCCCATTATATATTACGCCAAGATCAAAGCCCCATTAGGTAGAATATTCATCATTGCAAAGGCAAGCAACATTACTTGACATGTAACCACAAATAAAATTATTCAAAATACAAAAAATCAGCAAAAACAATGATAATTAATATAAAGGTTAAAAATGAGACACATAAATAGTACGATTAATCATATACACACACGCACATACACACACAAAGAGTTATATTACATTCACATAGTGTCAGTGTTAGAAAAAGAACATCACAGGTGGACACAAATAGTATTTTCCAATACCTATAATATATCAGCACAATTTTAAGTTTACTTGCGTCGCGGTCTACTGGGTGAAGGACTTGGTTTGATTTGACGTGGGGGTGTGTGAGGTTTTCCATCGTAAGTAACATTCTGATATAATCCACCAGCCCCAGGTGCCCCGCCTCCTCCGTTATTATCATACGATACGTTAGCATAAGGACTGTTTGGTTGGAGCGACGAGCCAGTGGGGCCATGATTCTCATATATTGGGTGCTCGTCTTCAATCTCACCCGGAGCAATGTAGACCTCCTGATCATCATCATCATACTCCTCCTCTTCACTATTGTAATCTGTACTGGGCGTCCGGTTATGTCCGCCTGAATTAGCAGGAGGTAAGTTAGTTGGTAATAAGTTGACATATCCTGGTGGAGGCTTTTTAGGAGGAGCAGGTAATGGTTTGTGTTTAGTTGGAGGGCCTGTTTTATTAGTTGGTGGCATTACTGGTTGCTTACTAGTCGTTGGGACTATTGGGTGTTTTACTATTGGTACCGGAGCAGGGAATGGTGTCTTTACAGCGCTGGGGAGTATGAAAGACTCGTTGCTGCTTGCTTCCGTCTTGTCTATAACGTCTTTTATTTGTTTGAGTGACATTCCGCCGTACGTGTTCCCGTCCATCTCCAGTCCTGGTTTGAAGAGTCTCTTTGCTCCAGTTGCTTGCATTTGCTGATTAAGTACGGAACCAAATTTGTTGAAATCAATTTCTAAAAAAAGAATAAAAGATGATGTTTACAGTAGAGCATTGTCAGTAAATTATTGGACATTCCAACAGAACCAAGACACAATAGAACTGACACTAACTATCATAACAAGAAAACTGAGGTCACTTTGTCAAAATTTTATTCTCCAATTTGATAGCAGCATGCACATGGTTAAAATTTTGCAAAAAAATTACCTCTTTTAGAGTTACATGTAATTTGCTAAATTTTAACAATCCAAATTTTTAAGCTCTACAGTATACATGTATATAGATTCTAAATATGAATGGCCATTTTCATAAAAGAAAATGATTTTGTACACAGTGGTTCTGACTTCCAACACATACATGTACAGTACATGTACATCAGAAAATGTAATAAAAATTTGGGGTGATATGTTAGCATTTGCCATCATACATTGTATTTCAATACATGTACATCCTTTTTCAAAATGCTCACAAACTACAGGACAAGAAGGCCATTTAAGTTACTACATGAATCCAAGAATACATGACCCCACCCCATTACGTACTCTTGATAAATGTACGGGTGTACATGTACATGTAGTTATAGTGGTATTGGTACATGTGTATATACATGTACTTTATGTACTTTAAGCTTTGTAGCTTAAGAAAAAAGACATACACAATACATGCAAACATGTAAATCAATAGTGTAACAATTAAAGGAAGATTATCAATGGGTGTACATACATGTAACATCCTACCTGGTGGGTTCCATGCTTGATCATACGTAGGATAGAGCTCTCCTCCATAAGGTCCTATTGTTTTATCAGTACAGTGTTTCATGTATGTGTCCAGGAGATCAGGTATACCCATCCCATCAGCATTGACAGCCTACAAATAAATAAAATTAAATGAACAGTTTTTGAAAATCCAGATTCATAAATTGCTGTGTAGGTTATGCTCATACAAGTAGAACAATGTAGCTGTTCACATACATGTATTTCACACGAATTCATAAATTGCTATACACAGTGTATGTAGTTTATGCTTATAAGTATGCATGGTTAAGGCTAACAATGTGACTGTTCACATATTTCACATGAATTCGATTTATGTACTGAAAGTGAAGCAACAAACAATTTTATACAAACAGTAACTGATTGCGAGAATGTTCCGAATGCAATTACAGTATTACGCATGTACAGTATGCATGCCTTCACATTAATACTTCAAACAGACCCAAAACTGTTAACTTTATACACAAAATAATCTACTACTCAATGCTTAATATGTACATATTGAAATATTCATTTGTTACTGGATAAAGGTGAAGGTCATTAGCTCTATCATAATGAGCCACTTAAAAGCTACTCATTTGATATAAACAAGTTGAAAGGAGCACAAAGCAATCGGTTAACTAAATAAATATGCACAAATGTGCAGTAGTTTTTGTTTGGACAAAGATCATGATATTCTTTTTGCCAAAACTAAACAAAGATATCCAACGTACAGCACGTACTATTGTGCCGTATATTCAATGACACTCACCGATTTCTCAAACTTGTAAAGAGGGCCACATTTTGCTATCTTGTGATGATGGACACCGTCTTTTCTCCTAAAAAGGAAATAATCAATTCACAACAAACACCAGCCAACGCACATCCACAGATCCAACCCACAAACATCAACTGTTATGCTTTTGGTTGTGTACATTAGCATCTTCTCACCAGAAACTCATGATGTAGCTTCCTCTGTCGTTCTTCCTCACGACGAAATTCCCGATCTGTCCTTTCTCTTTGAGACTTCTCTCACACTCGTCTCTACTCATCGGTCCCCAGTACCAGTCGTATCTACTCAGATCATCTTCCTCCTCATCTATTGATTGTGACGATTGCCCGTGCATGAAGCTCCCATCGGCACTGTTGCTTTGCTTAGTGAGCTTAACAGCTGTGTTATGGACCACAGAGCTATCTCCACTGTTGCTTTTCATGTGGCAGATTTCTCCATCGGCACTACACCCGCCACGGTAGCCTCCGCCTTGAGAGACGACGCCCGTTCCGCTTACAAATCCACTGTCCCGTTTGTGGTGTCTGTTCGAATGAGGAGGAGGAGGGGGTGTTGTTTGTATGTGGTGAGGATGGCTGCCGGGTAGGGTCGTTGAGCGAGGGGGCGGTTGGGGTACCTCGACTGCAGTGAGACTCGGTGAAGTTGGTAGTGATGTACTGAAGTCATTCTCTTCTCTTAGTATGCCTCTTTCGTAATAATCTCTTTTCTAAACAGACAAAGACAAATGATAATCTTTGGAATAGTAAAAGCAATAAATAATTTTTGGAATGAATAAAGCAATCTTATGGTATGTGTGTACTATCTCTTCTCTGGAAAAATAATCTAGTACCAGGCAAACACATTATTGATAATCTTTGGAAAATCAGGTGGCAATCCTATGGTATGTGTGTGTGACTGAGTACTAGCTTTTCTCTGGAAAAATAACTTAATAAACTTGTTGATCACGTGTACACTCATTCTTGGACATCACAAAATAATTTACTGAAGCCATTAAAATCATTTAGGCTTGGCAAGCTTAGCTTGCATTGTGGATCAGGCCACAAAGGACAATAATGAACACATTAAGGTTTCATTTCCTTCATGCACAGTGCCTAATGGTTGCTAAAAAAGCTTTACTCTTTCCATAATTAACTTTCAATGTCAATGGAGACACTTGAAACAACTGCCTATAATAATACATGAAACAGCTAATGCCACTTGACAATTGTACACTCATGCATTATCACAACACAATAAGTGATAGTACTCGTATATAAACAACACAATAGACTGACAGTACTCATACATGCATATTATCATTACTTGAATGAGTTTCTCTAAAGTACTAATCCATAATTGTCTTTTGTCTTGCTTCTGACACTAGATAAGAAATGAAGCTATGATATTTAACCTCATAAAACTGCATGCAAGTACAATGTACTATCCCATGGCTACACTTTACTACAGGAGAGTTCCTGTGATCTTACACAGTTCCATTGAAGTTACACAAGGTACAGTACATGTATAATCAATACTATATATAGAAGAATTACTATCCACTACAGCCTACATGCATGAACAGCATGTGCACATGCCTACACGTATCATATAAGGACTGTGATTGACTAAATTGGTAGTAGTAATAATAATAATAATAACTGTAGCATCACTCATGTAAATGTACACTAGATTTTTAATGATAATTATGATTGTTAGTTGGTATTAATTTCATGCCATAATTGATCTCCCATGGTTACCTTAAATATGTATTTTCCTCCACTTCCTCTATCGTAATAGAATTTAAAATCATTTTTCTTGTCTTTGCCTTCTGCTCCAGTTCTGTCAGAGCTATGTATCTCCAAACTCTGTAAATGCTGATGGAGAGGGAGAGGGAGAGAGAGAGGGAGGGAAGAAGAGAGAGGGAGAGAGAGAGAGAGAGAGAGAGAGAGAGAGAGAGAGAGGGAGAGAGAGGGAGGGAGGGAGGGAGAGAGGGAGAGAGAGAGAGAGAGAGAGGGAGTGAAGAAGGGAGAGAGAGAGAAAGGGGAAAGGAAGAGAAAAGAGAAACATTACATTATAGCACCGAATCCATTACATGCAATGTACATGTACACATACATGTATTTATAATCTTAGTACACAACATTATTGTTTGTGCAAACAACTCATGGTTCAACAACTAAAATATAAAAGCACATCACCCACACATCACTTACATGTAAAGACTTTGGGAAAATCTATAAAGGAAATTTAAAATGTATTTTCTGAGATTAGAGTCAGTTTGTGTGGGCGAAAGGCACCCTCCACTAGTAATACTACAAAGAGCACTTGTGAGGTTCGAGGATAAACAATATTAATTGAATCATCTTAGGCCAAATGGGCCCACAAATGTTGCATAAGAATGCTCCAAAATGAAATAATGTTTTATTAATAAAGTGAATAATTTGCTCAATAATTCCTTTTCTAGTTGAAACTGTGTCTAGGCGTATGTGAGTCACTCTTCCTATCACAATAGCAGACTCAGCACTAGAGGCACAAACAACACAGGCTTTAATGCAATGCTAATGGATTTTTGTGTATCCTTATTGGCAGTGAAAACAACACATTGACTACATTGCCTACAGTTAATGGAGACACATTGACAAAAAGAAGCCACTCATAGCTACAGTACAATCATAGTTACAGTACATCGGTGATGCAAGGGATTTTTGGCATGTTTATGTATCCACAGGATACAATGGAATAAATTGTGACCCCGTGAGCTAATAATGGCTGTCTCACTCACCTTTCGTGATCTTGATGGATTTTCATTGCCTTCGAATATGTGAAAGTGCTTCTCTGATACTTCTATGTAATATAACAGCCACTGAGAGTAGGAGAGAAGAGAGGGAAAGAAATATTTTTACAATAGCAATTGCAAGAAAGAGAGAGGGAGAGAGAGAGAGAGAGAGAGAGAGAGAGAGAGAGGGAGAGAGAGAGGGAGAGAGAGAGGGAGAGAGAGAGGGGGGGGAGAGAAGAGTCAACAATAAAAGGACATCAACAATACAATAGCAATATACAATAGCAATTGCAAGAAAGAGAGAGAGAGGGGGAGAGAGAAGACTCAACAATAAAAGGACATCAACAATAAGAGGCTATTATTAATCCAACGTTTCAATAGCACACAGTGAAAGTTTAACTTAAAGATCAACAAAACTCTAACAGCGTATAAAAATCTTGAGCAATGCATACACGGGGAGTTATAAAGCAAACAAGTTCCCCAACTACAAGGAATGACAGCAGACCCTATCACCACAACATGTTTATCCAACCATTCCATTTACAACACGGACAGTTTTTGAAAATAAATTGAAGACAGTTTGTTTTGAGACAACATGCTTTTAGAACTAATGCACATATGCATAATGAGCTTGCACGCATGGAAGAGGGGATACGTGACACGTACACACGACCCTAATAATAGACCAGTACAGAATAATATATGATATACAGGATAAAGAAAGTGAACATTGGGCTAATAAAACAAACAAGTCAGTAGGCCCTTCATGTATTACACATACATGCACAGTATATATTGGTTGTGGTTATGGCAGCTAATAGTTTGAAAGATTGTAATCATTGTTTCATGATCCAGTATCACAACAAGGCAGAAAGACTAAGGGATATACCACAATGTCATATAGCAAGGTATTAAAGTGGCTAGGAGACATTATAGGCTTGTATTGAGTACATCTTTTTTGAAGCAAAAAAATACTTTGATAATTATTCTACAAATTACAAAAAATGATAGCTCTCTCTCTCACTCATTGCAACAATCCTTTTCGATTATAATTAGCAGTGGCTAGCTGATGAAACAATTTAACTAAAATATGCTAAAGCCACGCCAAGCCAATATTGCTTACATCTCTCTTGCCAACGACAGGAAGCTTCCCATAGTACAAGCCATCCAGCGACAGGCCCCCAGACATTCTGTATTATTGCGAAGCGAAGCACAAGGAACAGAGCTTCTTTTCTTCTTTGAACGACCTCTTTATGTCTGTCTTTCCTTGTGGACCAGGGACTTATTTAGAGAAGATAGGGTAATATCCTGATAAACCAGGAAAAGGTGTGGCTGATTCCTTGGAGCTGAACGAGGCGTGGTCGAAAAGAAGGCGTGGCTGGGTGGAACACGTGGTCAAGGGGATCTCCCTGTATCCGGGCGGTAACTAGGGAGGAGTAATAGTTAAATTAAAAATTATGAATTATTGGTCATTGAGGAACTGCCGGTGTGTGTAGTGTCTTCTGTCGAGGTGGCTGCAAGCCTAAAAAGGACAAGAAAGTGAGGACAATCCTGAAACGGCCTCACCTACTTTTAACTTCAAGAGTAAATTATCCTGAAGAGAGAAAATGGTAGGTTCAACGAGATTTCATATTAAATGATTGTCTCCCTCATTTCTCCTCTTGACTAGGCTTACCACTGGCAAAGTAGGAACAAGAAGTCGAGTGGTGTGGAGGACATGGTTCTTTTAGTAAAGATACAAGAGTCCTCGATTGTGGAGAATCTTAAAAAGAGATACATGGATGACTACATATTTGTATCCACACAATCCACATGTATATATCATGTCTACTATCTGTAATATCTGTACTATCTATCCTTTCAAATAGTTTATTGTCAGTAATGCTTGTAATGAAGGTAGTTTCTGTTCCATTGTGTGTTAGGTTCAGTGTTGGTAGTGAATATTATGATGATGATCAGTGATTAGGAGTGTTATCATTATCATTGCCCTATGTTTACTTCATTGCCCTCTATAGCAATTCCCTCAGTGTATCTGTTGATTATAAAACCGGTTACCGGCCGTACCGAATCGCACAATTGTTTTTAATAATAACAATGAATACTCTCTTTTATTATAAACTTATCATTTTGTATAAGAAATATATTTATTATTGACTTAGATTTACAAATGTATTTTAACTCATTCATGTGTGTATATTAGTATTTTATATAGCTATGTATGGGAAGAATAAAGAGTAGTGATCTATACCATATTGGGTTTGTGGTGATAACCAGGTGCTTGGTCAAATAGGCATAGCCCATTACCCAACTGGCATCCTTCAATACATGTACATGATAATGGAGACATTACATTGTTTATTTTGACTCTAAAGTACATGTGCATGTTATGTATATCTTGTGGAGTTGGTGGCATGTATTCTGTAGTGTACCTGTACCTTGTGTTTGTGTAATAGACTCCTCTTAGTATTACTGGCAGTTGTCTGTTGCTTGTTCCCACTATGTTAGCTTTTATGAGGAAATCACGGGCAAGAGATTACAATTTGACATTGTTTCTATGCTACACTCCTAACATTCAATCATGCATGTACAGTATAGAATGTAGATCTTATTACACAACATTGGCAGAGCTGCCAAAAAGATACTACATTTGTTGTCATTACTCTATATATATATATATATATATATATATATATATATATATATATATATATATATACATATACATACATGTATATGTACATGTACATGTGTATTTACTGGTTTTTGTTGCATTGTTTTTTTTTCTTGACTCTATTAATTTTGTACAGACCTACATTGGGCCTGTACTGATCTCAGTGAATCCTTTCAAGCAAATGCCTTACTTTACTGACAGGGAAGTAGAGATTTATCAAGGAGCTGTAAGTAAATTAATGTGTTTATTTATCAAGTGGTGGATAATCAATTTTTCGATTGCGTACATAATACTTTGTATCAATACAACTTTGATCACATTGATTATTGATAAAGATTAAGAAATGTACATGTATATATATATTATACATGTATATATATATATTAATATTTGTTTTTATAGGCGGCTTATGAAAATCCTCCCCACATATATGCACTCTCAGATGACATGTACAGGAACATGTTGATAGAGAATGAGAGTCAGTGTGTCATCATCAGTGGGGAGAGTGGGGCTGGTAAGACTGTTGCTGCCAAGTTCATAATGGGGTACATTGCTAAGGTATCTGGTGGTGGACAGGATGTACAGGTAGATACACTGTAATGAACTAATAAGGATAATAATGACTATTGTGACTTAATAAGGAACAGTGTTATTATTAATCTTCTGATAATTATTTCATCATTCATTCACTTGTAGAGAGTCAAGGAAGTTATTTTGGAGTCTAATCCTTTACTGGAGGCATTTGGTAATGCAAAGACTGTCAGGAACAATAACTCATCAAGATTTGTGAGTTGTACATGTACTGTACATGTACATATATGTACATGAGGGTGTGTGTGTTGATTATGGGTATCCTTTGTTTTTAGGGTAAATACGTTGAGATTCAGTTCACAAGAGGTGGAGAGCCAAGAGGTGGCAAAATCAACCAGTTCCTTTTGGAGAAGGTGAGTCCACTCCCCCGGCCATTTTCATACATTACTCCTTTATCCTGTAATTCTTCTCCTTATTCATATTTCTCTTCCTTTCTTCCTCTTATATTCATATTTCTATTCATGTACATATACATGTATGTGCATGTACACATACATTGTATGTACATGTACATGTATATTTATTTTTGTTCTTTTTTTATTCCTTAGTCACGTGTTGTGAGTCAAAATGAAGGAGAAAGAAGCTTTCACATTTTTTATCAACTAATTTCTGGAGCTGATGATGACATGAGAGGCAAGAGATATCAATATCAGATACGATAAGTATTTATGTGTCTTTGTGTATATGTAGAGGGTCTTGGTGTAGCCAATGTTGACTATTACTGGTACCTGAATCAGACTGGTACTTACACTGTGGACGGGATCGATGACAAGAAGGAATTCCAAGACACGCTGGTATGCCAAAATGACACAAAGTTTATCAACACAATATTAATAATAACCATCCCAGTATAATATCTTATCTACACATGTACATGTACATATACATTTATACACATCATAATGATATAGTCCTACTGTACATGTACATGTATACATGTATATTGTCTACAAGTGTGTGTAATTGGTCTAATTGCTATTTAGCAAGTAATTATAAAAAAAGAACTGTCTAAAATATACATTTTAGTTGTTGTCTTATTGTTTGTGTAAATCAACAAATAAAGTTGGATTATTGATACCAATGGTACATTAGGGTTGTTGATGGGATTTCCTGCTTTGATGTGAATTGACTAACTATTGACTGATATTATAAAATGGAATTAGAATATTATTTATTATTATGCATAATAATGTATGTACATGTACACGTGTAGTATCATAATACTTGAGTTTCCTTCTTTTAAATTTGTCAGCTACAACTCTACATGTACATTATTGTTATAAGTACAGTGTATATAGGATGACAGAAATTTTACACTTAGTTTTGTATAGTGATTCACTATCATCACTTGATGTTAGTCTAATTGTTAAAATAATATTCATTAACCAACCACTATGTCTTATTTATACAGTATACTAAGTGTTAAGAGTATAAATCATTATTTTTTTAATCATGTACATGTACATGTACTGTAGGTTTTCATCATTGTTAATATTTATTATATTACATGTATTTTTTATTATGACACAGCATGCTATGGAGGTGATGGGTATTGTTGGTGACAGGCAAGGTGATGTCTTCAATATTGTTGCTGGTATTATGCACTTGGGAAACATTTCTTTCACTGAAAAGGGAAACTATGCTGTACCTGAAGATGATGGATGTGAGTTGTATAGACAATCATTGTTATTGTTCAGTTTTCTTTCCCCCTTTTTATACTATCATTATCTGCTTTCTTTTTGTTGGTATATTGTGCTCTCTCTCTCTCTCTCTCTCTCTCCCCCTCCCTCCCTCCCTCTCTCTCACTCTTTTCCTCCCTCTCCCTCCCTCCCTCTATCTCTCCCACCCTCCCTCTCTCTCCCTCTCCCTCCCTCCCTCCTTCCCTCCCTCCCCCCTCTCTCCCTCCCTCCCTCCCCTCTCCCTCTCTCCCCCACTCACCCTCATCAGTCCTACAGTTCCCTGCTTATTTATTGGGTGTTGAGCCAGCAGCTCTACAAGAGAAACTCACCGGTCGTATAATGGACAGTAAATGGGGAGGAAAGACGGAGTCTATTCGTGTCCAATTGAACGTTGAGCAGGCTTGTTATACTCGTGATGCTCTCTCAAAGACACTCTACTCTCGTCTCTTTGATTGGCTTGTGAAGGCAAGGATCTTGATTTAGACCCCAGCTGTTGTTTAAGAGTATCCCTCTCTCTTCCTCCAGTCCCTCTTTATCCTTATAATGTTGCATGTCTCATTCACTAGAATATAAATGATACCATGCTACTTAGTACATGTTCTATAGTTGTACATGTACATGTATATTAATTAGGTTATAGCTGTGTTTATGGAGAATTCTCTCCTTGATAGTTTTTGCTAGCTACAATATTTTTATACTTAGGTTGCAGCTGTGCATGCATGTACATGTACATGTACATTAATTTAGTTGTTTTAATGAAATGAGAGGCAGTTATAATTGAAAGTGAATTTACACATTAAGAAAACATGTGTTTATATAATGTTACATAATACATACATCTCCCGTATACAACACATACAGGACATACATGTACACATAATTTGCATGCAATAGTCTAGAAAAATTATAAATTTAATTCTCAATTTTATGTACATGTACATGTAGATGGTCAACACTGCCATGAAGAAAGATGGATTGGATATTAATATTGGTGTTCTTGACATTTACGGCTTTGAGATATTCATGGTAAGCTTCAACTACCATTATTTCTTAATAATAATTAATCCTCCATTCTTTTTATAGAAAAACGGATTTGAGCAGTTTTGCATTAACTTTGTGAATGAGAAGCTACAGCAGATCTTTATTGAGCTGACTTTGAAGGCCGAGCAAGAAGAGTATGTGTCTGAGGGGATCAAATGGACTCCAATTGATTACTTTAATAACAAGATAGTCTGTGAACTGGTGGAGAGCAAAGTAAGATTTATTGTTATTATTATTATTATTTTATCATTGCTGTCATACATGTACATGTATTATCAGCAATGAAAAGTAAACAATATTAATTATTTTGTAAGTTATAATTGAAAGTTGGAAAAAGTTAATTAAGACACAAAAAACTAAGAAGGATGTACATGTAAATTGACAAGAATATTATGTTATTATTATTAAAGAAAAACTGTAGAAAAAATCTGAATAAAAGTACATGTATTATTAGTTCTATTACTACTACATGTACATGTATATACTAAATATTAATAATTAAATTGTTATAATTATTATCATTATTTTATTATTTAGCGTCCACCTGGCATCATGTCCATATTGGATGACATTTGTTTCCAGATGCACGGCCAGTCCGAAGGAGCTGACATTAAACTCGTTGAAGTAATCCATAGTCAATGCACATGTACATGTATAAGGTGTTGGGATAATGATGTTAATATCTTTGACATGTAATGATTAGTTCCTCCAAGAAATCACTAATATTGTATTAATATTAATGTACTCTTGATTACCGTATAGGGGCTTTATTTTGTTGGTATAAATTTTTGCGAATCTTACCTTCTGCAGCCATTTTTACTAGTGTGCCACGCCTCTTTTGTGGAATTTAATTTCGCAAATTTAATGAAAACGTGAAATTCGCAAAATTTATTACCAGTGAAATATAACCACTATACTGTATTTATTTATTTATTTGTTGCAGAAATTAGGTGGTGAGCCATTGCCTGGTAAGGAGTATTATGTTGGTTTCAGTGGAGGATTCACTATTCAGCATTACGCTGGGAAGGTACATGTACATTAATGTAGTATACACACACTAATTTATTTCCATGTACATGTACATGTACTGTACATGCATGTAATGCTGCAGGGCCTGTAATTACATGCTAGACATTGTGTCTTCATGAACATTGCTTAATTTGATCATTGCTTAAGTCCCTGTACTATATAGTACAGGTTAAATGGCCAAATTTTGTCAAAAATGGCAAGGAGGGAAATCTCCATTTTTATAATTTTTTCTGATACATATACATGTCCTTATGTTGTGTATCAACTTTGAGCTGATTACAATGAAGTTTGGATTTTTTATGAATTTTCAAAGTTGCTCCAAATGCCATGTACTGTATTGTAGTGCTTGTCAGCTCAATGCTTTGTGGGAAACCCTGTGGTTGGACATGTTATGACTTTAAATTGCTTTTAATGATTATTTAGAATAATTATTTCAAAAATTAAGTTGTTCATACAAAATGGTAGAACAACACAGAGGTCAGAAAATTGAGCAAAATGATCGTAAAATTTTGATGTCCAACTGCATATGTTATTTGTTATACATATACATGTACATGCTATTAATTGATACTAAAAGTACTAAATTACAGTATAGTATATACATGTATATTATCAACTCTGTGATATGGGCATGTTTGCTTATACTTTTAAACTACTATCACTTTGTTGTATTAGGCCAATATCCGATAGCTAATTTTTGATAATCTTTATTTGTAGAAATAATGTACATATATTGTGTGGAGCTCCCATTTAAAGACACAGAGTGTGTGTTTATGCACAACCCCCCATTAGTATATTTACTACAGAATTTCCCCTTGCTCAATATTGATAATTTCCCCCTCAGTTTAAATACATACATTGCTTTGTTTAGGTAACATACGATTGTAATGGATTCTGTGAGAAGAACAGAGATGTATTATTCAAGGATTGTATTGAGTTGATGCAGGCCAGCCAAAAGTTAGTAAATAATGATACACTATATACATGTACATGTACATATACATATACATGTACATGTACATGTACATGTACAGGTCAATGTGAGAATATATTAATGTATTAATATTTATGTTATATAGTCAGTTCATTCGTTCATTGTTTCCTGATGATATCAGTCCTGATAAGAAAACCAGGCCAACTACTGCTGGTAGCAAGATTAAGGTACATTGTAATGTACATGTACACACTATGTTACTGTGTTTCATGGTTTTTGATAAGAAATTGGATTTTGCGTTAATATCAAATTTGCTCACATTTTAAACCAAATCACTGTTTTTTTGCTTTAATAAAAAATAGCTGAGTTAATGTTTATATTTTGGGAATTTCTTGAGCAAATTGACCCAAAATGACATTGTAATTGTGGGCCAATAGCAAACTGGATTAATTCACTTATCAAAAACACTGGTACATTGTATTTTTATCACTTCTACATGTATGTATCCTTCTCCCTAGTCCCTACCTCTCAATCATTTACATTTTAATTTCATTTCCCTTTCTTCTTTCTCAATTTCTTCATTTTATTTAGACTCAAGCCAATGATCTTGTTGGTCGTCTAATGAAGTGTACTCCTCATTATATTCGTTGCATTAAACCAAACGAGACAAAGAAACCTCACGACTGGGAGGAAGACAGGTACACTTATATGTACATGTACATTATACATGCATACCATGTACATGTGTATACTACATGCATGTACATGTATAGAAATGTATGAAAATATAAAGATGTGTATAAAATTATAGTCACAGTTAGATCTTAAGAGATTTTGGCTTCCCACATTTGACCTAAGTAAGTCTCCTGAAATCTCCTTAAGTCTCCATTTTTAGTTAGACTATATCCTCCCAAAATTTGTTTTTAGTTTGACTAGTCTTCCAAAATTTATTTAGATCCAACAATGAGTGTTCAATGTATAGTTCTATTCATGTTCTTTGTCTGTACATGTACACAATGTTGTACTTTAGTGTTGTTTATTGTTTATACTCTTATTCCCTTTCCCTGTTCTCTCTTCCTTCTTCCCTTCTCTTTTATCTATTTCCTTTAATTGTTTTGTTCCTTCTTTATTATTCTGTCTGTCTGTCTGTCTGTCTGTCTGTCTGTCTCTCTCTCTCTCTCTCTCTCTCTCTCTCTCTCTCTCTCTCTGTTAGGGTAAGACATCAAGTTGAGTATCTTGGTCTTAAGGAGAATATCAGAGTCAGAAGAGCAGGCTATGCCTTCAGAAGAGAGTTTGCTAAATTCTTAAGAAGGTACACACATGTTCATGTACATCATGTACATACATTTACATGTACATTTACATTTATGTGTGCATTAAGTATTGTCCTAAACTGCAGTCGTTTCACATGTACATGTACATGTACTTGCATTTAGTAGTAGGGCATTTTTCAGACTAATTTCTAATTCCAGTAGTTGGATTTTTTTTTAGTTTTTCTGTAATTTTTTGCAAAATTTTCTTATGTGTATAAACAAAACTTTTAAGGCAAAATACATGCACATGTACATTATAGTTATGTACCCATCCACTATCACTTTTAGAAAGATGGAACTGCATACATGTATGTACAATGTACATATTACATGTACATGTACATGTACATATTATTCAATTACATGTACATGTGTATATATACATATTATTGTACATGTATGTGTACTAGACTACATGTACATGTAGATATACAGTAGATACTGTGTATACAGTTGTTCATTCTGTCCATGTGTAGGTATGCATTACTAACTCCTGAGACTTATCCTCGTTGGACTGGTCCAGTCCAGGATGGTATACGGCACTTGATGATGTCAGTCAACATGGAGCCGGACCAGTGGCAGCTGGGCAAGACTAAAGTGTTTATTAAGAGTCCTGAATCAGTGAGTATTGGCACTATTTGAAATAGCTACTATTCTCTTTTTATTTAATTTTATTCCTCCCCCTCTTTCTTTCTATTTTTACTCTTCTCTCTTTTCCATCTTTTTTTAATTTTTGTTATTTTTTATTGTGGCTTATGGTATAGCTGGTGATTTTGGAGGGATAAAATTTTGGTAAAATGCTAAATTTTTGATATTTTAGCTGGTTTTAATTTGGTGAATTTGTGGCCATGTGTCATGGAGCATGAACAGAAAAGTTCGAAATTATGGGTTTTATTTTTGGTGAATAGCTATTAAAATGCCAAATTCACCAAAATTACCAGCTTTATATGGTAATCTTCTTCATTCTCTTTTATTCATCCATTGTCCTCAGTTTAAAATTAAATTAATTATCATTATTATTATTATTATTATTTTCTAGTTATTCTTATTGGAGGAGCTCAGAGAGAGGAAGTATGATGCTTATGCTCGTAGGATCCAGAAGGCATGGCGTCGTCACCGGTCAGACCAGTACTACCAGACACTGAAGGAAAGAGGTAATTAAATACACTCAAATGCAATAACCAATGAATATAAACTACATGTACTACACTTTTCACATACATGTACATGCATGTACATGTACATGTACATGTACATGTACATGCAATACATAAATGCATACACATTGTACTATACATGTATGTACATGTACATTCATATATTCAATACATCACACTTGTAACTCTTAATTCTCTGTAGCGTCTGATATATTGTTGAATAAGAAGGAGAGGAAGAGGTTGAGTATTAATAGGAATTTTGTTGGTGATTATCTTGGGTTTGCTGATGATCCTGCCCTACGTGCTCTTGTTGGTGAGTCTTTACTTTCAGTTTATTGTTTTGTTTCAGTTTATTGACAATAACAATATGTACAGCATATTGTTTGGAGATTTTAGTTTGGCTTTGTGATTTAAAGAGAAAATTGTTATGTAGGAAGTTTGAGCTGTTTCCAACGAATAATTTTTGAGTTATGAGAGTTTTAAAAATGAGCCAATTTTTAAAAAATACCCAAGGCTATTTAGCCCATTTAAATCAGGTCATCACCCTCAAATCTCATACAAAAAGATACAGTAACACATTAAATTACACCATGTTTTTTTCCAAAAAATGACCCGAAAATCATTCCAATTTTTTCTTACATTTTCTGATATATATTGATGTCCTAATGTGCTGTAAAATGTTTGAGTTAATTCTGACAAATATTTTTCGAGTTATGAGCATTTTTTTAAAAGAGCCAATTTTTGAAAAATACCCAAGATATAGCCCATGGTTTTTTCAAAAAATGGCTCCGAAATCACCCCAATTTTTATTACATTTTCTGATAAATATTGATGTCCTTATGCTGTGTAGAAAGTTTGAGCTAATTCCAGCTTAAAATTATTAAGTTATGGCCATTTCAAGAAAACGCCAAAATTCTGAAAAATACCCAAGGCTATAGCCCATGGTTTTTTCTAAAAAATGGCTCCGAAATGACACCAAATTTTATTACATTTTCTGATACATATTGATGTCCTTATGCTATATAGAATGTCCTTATGCTGTGTGTTTGTTTTTGTGTGTGTGTGTGCATGCGTGCGTGCGTCAGATTTTTGTTCCAACTTAAGGTTTTCAAGTTATGGCCATGTAAAAAGTACATGTACATATAGCAAATTGGTTTTTGCATGTCACGGATTTGGTAACAATGCAAGGAATGTATTATTGTATTAATACAACTGTAATTGTTATTGCCTCATGTCTGACCCAACTTTAATTAATATTTATTTATTTATTTATTTATTTCTTTATTAGGTAAACGTGAGAGGATAGAGTTTGCCCAAACTGTCAATAAATACGACAGACGATTCAAATGCACCAAAAGAGATCTTCTACTGTCAGCACAATTTGTGTACCTCATTGGTAGGGAAAAAGTAAGCAAACAAAATGAAATAATTGTGGCGAGCCTGAGTGAGCCCCACATAAATGAGACAAGTATGTTTGTCTGTACACGTACGATAGATGCTATGCATTAACAATGCAATATACAATGTAAATTCAGTTTTCAATATTTCATTAAAAGTGGGAGTGGCCACAATAAAATAAAATGGCGACCAACACACGGAAAGAAGTCATAAGTTTTCTAGCAGCAAAATAAGACAGAAATTCTGTTCAAAGGCTTCTCCAACAGCTATATCAGGTTATAGATGCAATAAAGTAACTATGAAACTTGTTTTTGTTGACATTATTAATTGACTGGACTTACTGTACAGTCTGTACTACTGTCCAGATGCAGAAATGGATGTTAAAAGAAAGCAGATATGCCATCTTGTTAAAACATTCATGTGAATGACTCTGATTAAGTGAATGTCAGTCACAGCCTGAACTAACTTGGACTACATTGCTACAGTTGCCTATCTAACCTTATCATTTGTGCAGTGACTGCTTCTACAGTAGCTATCTTTAATTGCAAAACTTCATGCATTGATTACAAAGGTAGATGAAGAACTACACTACACTCCAAGTTCTGAGCTGCTTAAGTTCAATCAATTCATGCATGAGACTGAGTATTGTTAGTCTGTTAAAATTTATTATATGTACATTGCTTTGCTTGCTTAGGCTCGCCCCTTTAATGTTTTACATTCGTCTAGTAAAATTAAATTTATGTTAAGTATTATTTGAGTTAGAGTTATTCTTTTATTTTTTGATAGATAAAGAAGGGATCACATAAAGGTCAGTTTGTTGAAGTTGTGAAGAGGAAACTTCCACTTGAGACAATAACAGCTGTATCTATGAGGTAATTATTATAATAATAATCATTATCAACTTCAATATGGACTTCATTTTGTATGTAAATGTATACTTACTGTACAACTGGAAATATTGACAGGAGTCATAATTACATGTATTTGATAAATTTTGTATTTGGTGGACTTTATGTTAATGACCATTTGTCATTGAGCATACATGTACTTAAGATGAAGCAAAATGACATTTTATTTTGGCGGTTGGTTGCTTGATAAGCACACCACCAATTTAAAGTACAAGTTGGTGCTTTTATTCGTTAACTTTCTCTTCTCTTTCTTTTCTCTCAGTCCCTTGCAAGATGATTTCTTTGTGATTCATGTTGCTAATGATTTTGATTCAGTCCTGGAGTCTGTTCTTAAAACTGAATTCCTGACTCTCCTCTCTGAGAAATATAAACACTTAACGCAAAACCAATTGAAGTTCCAATTCAACAACAAGTGAGTGATACTTGACTTTTAAAAGCATGTATATTTTTTTATACTTGTACTTTATTTTCAAAATTTAAAAGTCTCTGT